TTGCTAAATGGCTTCTGCCCGGAGCAGGGGAGCTGAGCTCCCCTGGAGGAAGGCACTGTCGCTTTCTTTGTTAGCCGTAAACAAATAAAAATTAAGGTATTTCTTAAGTGATACCCTAAGGAGACAGAAGGGAAGTCATTAAGTGAGTCCTCGGCTTGATCACTCAAATCGACCGCGGGCACGTCTGCAGTAATGCTGACGGGCTGTGATGAATGCAAATGAAAATAAAGATTGTTTAGATGCTTAAACGCTGCATTTCCCTATTTTACAGGTTTGGACTTAACCGTACCGCACTTGAAAGGGTAAAGACACTTCCAGGAAATAATATCCCTGTAATATTTAATACCAAATTATCAAGGCTGTATCTTCTCGCCAACTTATTTTCAGCCCAGCGCAGCTTTGCCGTACCTAACGTTTACACAAACCACCGGCGATGTTTGGCACTGCGTTTATTTATACCCATGGGTGCCCTCCTCTTAGAAACTTGCAGGACAAAGGTCACACCTGTGCTTTCGGGTTTGCCCTGCCGTCGGTGGCAGTTGTATGCACGCTCATGCAATGCGCTGGTGTTTGCTGGGTTTAGTACTTTATGTAAGAGACGGTGTTAGAGAAGCCAAGTCATGTTCTTAGTGGACACCATGCCTTGTCTTTGCAGCAAAGGCAGGAGAGTGAGAGCAGACTGAGTATATAAGCTAAGCACAGTAAATGTTGAATATAGAAACATTACTCAATGAATAGGAAAATGTAAAGAAAAACTTCCTCCTTTAATGAAGTTACATCACTTTTGTAGTTTAAAGGGGTTTACTTCCTTCAGTTCTTGAGGAAGTCTGTGCTAAGTTTTGAATCAGCATGAAATGGATGTGAGTGCTGGTCAATGAATAACTTTAAGTAGAGCTATAAAATGAACCAGTTTTATTTCTCTGGCTCAGGAAGTTATTTTAGAGAGAAAGAATACATGTAAGAACAAGATGTCTCATGCCGGGAGACGATACCAAGATAAGCAATACAGGCGCCATGAGAACCATGGATCTGATAGATACGAGGAAGACAGAAGAGCGAGAAAACCATACCCGTACAATGCAAGGTACGTCTTTTATCAAATACCTTCATATTGCAATAATAAAGAAAGCTTTTACTCAGCCTTGAAATCATGAAGAATAAGCATGCCACATTTGGAATCAGGAAGCTGTTTTACACTTAGAAATTTAACCTTTTTATTGATATGGAGCTCAGGAGGGGGCAGAAAGATAGGCTGCGTGACACAAGTGAGATGTGAATTTCCTGGGGTTATCTGGATCAAGTTGGGTCACAAGTAGGTGAAGTGTGGCCATGTGTCTTAGTACAGTTCCTGAAGAAGCTGGTCAGCAGGTGACAGCAAGCCATGGCTTGCCAAATATGGATTGCTTAAATGAGAATGTTACATGACTGAGACCAGCACAGGGATTTACTGAACTCTCAGGTTGCTCAAGTTCAGCTGTGAACAAGTCGATATTAATCGAAACCAAAATTAATTTCAGTAGTCGCAGTCAATAAATGAGTACTTTTTAAAGTGTCTAAGGCTGTTTGCAGCACTTGATAATGGGTCAGCCCCTATCAGCACGATAAGCACATCAACTAAGAGGTCTGGACTGACAAAAAAGCTGTGAGGATATTACACTTCTCCTTCCAGCCTGGCCAGCCTACAGCATATTAGACGTGAGCTTAGGCTGTTTTCTTTTAAGGGCATGCCAGTGACTGCATTGTAGAAGAGAGGTCTGTACCTCTAAACACCACTGGCAACTCCCTTTTTGTCTCTGGGCTATGATTGTAGGGCAATTTAAGAATAGAGGCAGAGAGGGAGAGGAGATAAATATAAGATTATTGAAAAGCTGAAATACTGAAGTAGTCCATGATAATATGAATTTTAGCAAGAATAAAAGAATAAGAATAAAAGCAGCAGTGAAGAGCACTGTGTGGACTAGAAGGAGTACTTACGGCTAAGTATAAAACATTTGAATGGTGGTAATCCTATTGTGTTACGAAAATAGCTAATGAATTTTTCTTGTGTCTCTCTTAAATTGTGAAAAATTGGAGAGAAATGGGAAGAAAGGTCAGCGTAAGAATCATCCTCAGAGGCTGCATGACTGTCCTTAGCAAAAGCAGAGGTCAGGAGGCAATACAGTTAAATTATCTTGAACATATTAGAAGTGAGAGCCGCAAATGCCAGGAATGTAGTCATTGCACTGTGGAGATAAAAAAAAGAAAAAAGGGTTGAGTTTTGGGTTTTCTGGTGTGGTGTTTTTTTCATATATAGCATAATATAAGCAGTATATGAAAGGATAGCTATAAATTAAACCACCAGTTCTTGATAAAGTGCTTCTCTGGACTTCCTATTTTCACTGTTAGTTTTAAATGACTGGACATGTAGACTGAAAATTGGTGGACAGAGTGTAAAGGCCAACAAATCATCCCTGTATCCACCAGGGATTAGAGGAAGGGAAGCTGCAGCTACAGATGTAATAGCCATAGAGGTAATTCTTAGAGTCAAGCCGAGAATCTGAGGGGCACCAGTCCTCACTACAACTAATCAAGAAACTTCTCCATCAGTTCTTTTGATGGAGTTTGGCTTAACCTAACAGCATTTTCCCTGCGTAGCTCTCATGACAAAACCAGCTGCTTTTGTAAGGATATTTCAGTATTTTGGTGAAGATTCAGGCTGATTGACCAAAAGACCTCCAGATACTATAATGAAATAGGTGGGAAGAGTTTCGTGGAAGCTGTAATTTGGGTGCCTGATGCTTTCATCCCTTATGAGCAAGACTTTCTAGCCAGAGTATTTCTCTTTCCAAATGCGTTTCTCTCTGAAACTCCTATAGCAAGCTTCCTCTCATTGCTGGGGAGAAACAGTTGCATTACCCAGAACTGGAAAGTCCTGAAGGAAAACAGGAGCAAAGGTGGCCAGAATAGGCCATTGTGAGAAAAAAAAGCATCTAAAAGAAAGAAAATTTTTTCCCTAATGGTACCCTGTTGCTGAATGTTAGGGAGTTTTTGTTTTGGCTTTTGTTTTGTTTTGTTTTCTGGCAAGTAGCAGGATACAATAGAGAGAAGCAGCTGCATCTGAAGTACCAAAGGGATTGCTTTCAAGTTAACTGGAAGTCTTATAAATCATACAGCTTATTTAATTTATGTGACACAGCTGCGCAGGATGCTTTGGTGGTTGCACAAGACATAGAACAAAGGTCAGAAAAATCAGAAATGTTTCGGCCAAATAGAGCTGTTGGCAACTACATGCAGAGATGTTAGCGTTGGTCTTGTTATTGAATGTCTTAATTAAAATGTAAAAACTAGAAAGAATATGATTTAATGTGGATGAATGAGATAATATTTGTAAGTTGAATCTGGAATTGGATGAAGATAAACCTTAGCAAAGTGCAGTCATACTAGGAAACAAAACTACAGTTGAAAATGCTGATCTATGGATAAGAAATTCAAGATTAAAAACTGAATAGGAAAAAAACTTTTAAAAATAATAATGCTGAATGAGACTTAAAATACCCTTTAATAACAAAATCATCCAGCTATACCTTGAAGAAGGCCAGGTCCAATTCTCCTTCAGATGAGGGAGAACATTTAGATTAGACTAGACACAAAACAATTTACACCCAATGTTTCTTTTAACCTGAGTGTTAACTCAGTTTAAAAAAGGCAAATTTCACTTTTCCCATAGAATAATAGAAATGTCACCAACCTTAAAAATCATCAGGATTCAGATGTGGAGCTGAATGTCATTGCAGCAAAGTGGACAATTCCATCTTGAAGTATATGAGTGAAGAGTCTAATTGGAGACACAAGAAAGTGATTTTTTTGGGGTCGATTTTAGATTCCTCTTCAAGTATAGTCAAAGATCTCAAACAAAAAAAAAAAGAGAAATATTTAAATAGGCAAATTTGTTTTCCCACTTTAAAATCTTTATCTGTTTCTTTTAATAGCTTTCATTCTTTTAAAAGGCATCTTTGTGAGACGGTAATTGGAAGTACAAACTTGACAAAACGCTTACCCATGAAATAGTTGCGCTACTTTACACATTTATTATGTGAAAATATTTCTCATTTTTATTCTCTGGGCTGCTATGGACTAGCTAAAAATGTTTGGTTTTCATGAAAAAGCTGTTACTTGTTTTTATGGGAACAGGAACTCTCCCCACACCCTCCTCCTTGCTACCTTTTGCAAGTAACCTAATAAATTCAGCCAGCCTACTTGGTGAGTACCCAGTTTTCAAAAATAAGAACTATGAAGTGCAAATATCCTTCTGAACATGGATTTATACAAGTATTTGGGATATTTGCTTTCAAAACATGCAAGCAAAAATGACCAGATACCTGTGAAGCAGGCTAGCTGGTTCCACTAACAGGAGCATCTGCCCGTTTTTCATGTTCTAGTGTTCAAGAGAGAGCATACTAATATACATTAGTCATTTACTCCATTGTAGATCAACAGAAGACATCCAAGGTGGCCAGAACTCAAGGACTTCTACTGTTTGCTCAGACCCTTACTCTAGAACCTCAGGAGCAGCACAGGAATATTTTGGCCCACCACCAGTGTGTTATCCTCCCAAGGAAACCTTCTCAATGAAGTGTTCAAAGGTATGCACAACAAGAGGTATGTGAGATTCTTACTGCCTGCCATCCACCCCTCTCCTTCCAAGGACTTGTCTTGGTTTTGGTTTCTGTGTTTAGAAGCACAACAAAGTAAAGCTAGAGGACTATTTAAAAAAAAAAACAACACATAAACAAACTGGGAGAGTTAAAGTTAATGCATGACATAACTCTGATTTACTAGCACATTTTAGGCATCTAAAGGCAAGATTTACAGAGATATTTAGATACTTGAAAATGCATCTCCAGAATATGCATCCAGACCATTAGAGTGGGTCCTGTGTGTAATCACCCAGGTTGTGCAGCAAGAGTTAACCTTTGGGATTTAGGAATAGAATAGATATTTGTAGGCAATTTAAAGATGGCTGTTGAAGCTTTGATGCTAGTTTATTTCTGACACATTCTTCTCAGACTTTTTATCAACTCTGGATTTAATCCAGTCATCACTGATACATCTTCGTAAAGCAACATTGCAGGAGACAAAACTATTTTATGGACATTAATCCAATAAAACAGCTCCAGAGAAATAACTTGGGTTTTTTTTTCATAGCTAGAAAGTGAATACAATAAGGAGAGAAATGAGCATTAATGTGGGAGGAAATGAGCCTTAACACTTAGTAAACTCATTCCTGTAAACTCAAAAAAAGTTGCTAAAATATCCATTACGTCTTTGAAGTTTTGCCTGTTCCAGGACAATGAGCATTCTCATCTTGTTTGTAGGAAAGGCTCACTGCAGTCTGAGTTGAAACTTGCAGCTAGGTGCAAAGTCTTTGGCCAAAGTCTATAAACAGCCTTTCAGTGTCCTCCAGTAGAGAGACTAATTAAGAGTTTAGTTGTTGGAAGTAAATTAAAATACGTAATATTAGATTATTTCTTCACTCCGTGAAAGAAAGTTAAATAACACAGTCAATTTGGTCTTAATATTTGTCTGTATGTGAATATGTGAACAATTTTAAGAGTGAGCTGAACTATTTTCTCTTATAAATATGTTCTGTGTATTTGTATGCAGTTTGGTTTTCATCTCGAGGAGATTTAATGCCAGCAGTTAGTAAAGCATATTTAATAATACAGAGCCATACTGATACTTTGTCCCTGATAAAATTGTATCAGCAGTTTCTTCTTCAACAATACTAAATTATTTTAACATGTCTGAGAAGCTCTAGAAATCTCCATGCCTTATTTTATCACAGCTTTAGAAAAATGAAGTGGCAAGCTATTTTTAGTTTTCAGTTTCACTGGTTGTTTAGACTTATGGATAGCTTAATGTGACTTGCTGGGGTTTTTTCCCCCACATTTGCTTCTCATTATTTCAGTGCATTAAACATCATTAACATTTTCAAAATGTCCTAGTTTTGGATGCATCAGTTGACGATGATGATTTCACTCCCACCCCTCCCCCAGGTATTGCTCAGTATTTTCCAAAAATTTAATGTCTGAGCTTGCAGTGGAG